GGACAGGAAGGCGGGTGAGGAGGCGGTTATTGCTTGGAGGGAGAGTCCCCCTCCCTACAGGGAGCCACGACTATGTGTCACGGGAGGGAAAATGGCCGCGGATCTTGTTCGTCACCCGATCCGGCGTTCGCGAACGGAAGGAAAAATTTGCAAACGGAGCTGTTCGTGACCTGAATTGGTCGTGAACAGAAGCGTTCGTGACCCGAGGTACCACTGTATGAGTGTGTATTTAGCATGAGAGACTGTAGCAGGCCATTTACTTTTTCACTTTAAGATTTCATGATCTCACTGCACTATTGCTTGTGCTGCATGTGTGAACTGGTCTAGGACGAGAAATCTCCTACTGGGTTAGTTGTGAGAGGCGCCACTGCAGATTCATAGAGCCAAACTAGATGCGGTGTTGGAAGCTTCATAGAGAGTAACTTCAGCTGTCAGAAAGAATGAAGGAATTGGATACAATATTAATACATTTCCCACATCAAAATGGTGGGAAACTCAGTGCTGGTCAGCAGCCATAATGAAGGTAACTGAATGGGAAACAGTGATGTGAGTTCTCAGCAAGTGAAAGGAACTGACCCTGCTCCTCAGCAACCTCTCCTCCCAATAATTTTATTCCAATCATGGTCACATCCAGCACTGAAGCCCTGGCCCAGAGGAAAGTTCCTCTAGGGAAGTAAACCGCTGATAGGGAAGAGCATTCAGTGCCTTTTTTCCAATGTACTGTACTGATTTTATTTTTAAAACCAGATCCCATTCTATCCTCTCCATACATTGTTTAGCTAGTTATTTGTCTAAATACACAAAATGGATGCCACACCTGTTACCTGCAGGTATTATCCAGGTGCAGTTTCAGCAACACTGAGTTAAGCCATCCTCATTGCTTGTGGTTGGGGAGTGATCTTTCTTTTCTTGATTAGGCTGGGAGAACCACGCTGACTCTTGGTTAATTCTAGGTGGAAACCCAGCCCCAGTGCTATGCATGCAAGAACTAACATGAGTAAGGTTGCTCAGTGACTCAGCTGGAAAGTCTAGCTTTGAAGAACGCATTTCAGGGATTTAATTATTTCCCCCACCCCACTCCACCCCTGGCACGTAGTTATAGAAGGGGAAAATTAAAAATAAAGAGTGACTTGAAATAAATCACCTGAGAAAGTAAGGGATCTTTGTAGTGGTCTGATGGGTAAAGGAAAAGTTATGTGAATCCTAGAAATTAAAAAAAAAGTATTAAGAGAGAAACAATATTTTAGAATCATTCCTCCTCCCCCCCCGCTTCAAGGAACAATCTTTGTTTCAGTGAGTTGTACTGCAGATATGAACGTATGGAATAGGGAACATGGAGCTAGTTATACTTGCATATGACTATCAAAACTTTCTCTTGCTTTAAGATGTTAGATACAGTGCAGTAGATTCCATATTACAGATTCCATATTACATTTAACTACCACTCATTCAGCCACCGTTCAAACTTATGTCAATACTGAACAAGTAGTAGTTATGACCAGTCCTCGTATTTATGGCCATTGCAGCATCCCCACAGTCAATGTGATTTGTGACCTTATTTTATTTTTTATTAAATTTATATGCTGCCCATCTCCCCCAGACCTTCTTTGCCGGCTTCCTACAAGCAAAGTCAATGGGGAAGCTGGCAGAAGGTTGCAAATGCGACCATGTATTGTACTCACTTAATGATGACAACTGGGATTGCCAGAATCTCCATTGCTAAGTGGCAGTCATATACCATCATAATTTACGACCATGTCGCTTAGTGTCAGCCTTACTGGGTAGACGAGACAGGAAACAGGACCAGATGAGCTAATTCTACTTTATTGTAAAGCTACATTAACAGAATCTTGCAAGTCTGAAAGTACAATTCTCCTCCTGTCTCCTTTACAGCCTGAGAAACTAGGGAGGGTCCATTTTGAGCCTCTTGACCTACCCACTATCCAGCTGTGGGGTATGCTGTCTGGTATCTGACTGTTCCTTAGGCAGCGTCTCTTGGTCCAGTCTCCCAAAGTCTTTCCCACATACCATTACACTTAGTGATGGAAATTCTGGTCCCTATTGCTGTCGTTAAGTGACGACTATCTGTAAAAGAAGCACTCCTGTAATATATTCTTGTACAAGAGAATGGCAGAAAATTGAGAGGCTTTTACGCTTCATGCTTTGCTACTTCTTTTCCTTGTTTTAGAAAGAAAATATCATCAACTCAGAAAGACAGGGAATTCTTTGAGGTAAGAAGAGCCTAAGGTTCATTGCCACCCTAAGATAAAATTAATTTAAAAGGGTAACCTCAGCTAGTGCTCTATAGACTAATCCTACATTTTTTCTATCAGTTCTCATTCATGCTGGTAAAATATATTTGCTTTAGAAACTGTTTCTAAATTTGAATTAGCAAACTGAAAAGAATGTTTGAGAAGTATTTATGATTGGGGACAAGGATATGTGAATTTCCTGTCTTTCACTGTACAGTCATCACTTCAGGGATCTACAGCCTCCCTGGCTTCCAGCGCTTCATTTCAGTCCTAAGGGAAGACATAATGAGCTGCTACTTTCTAACCCTGCTCTTGAGAAATGGTTGGAAAAAGTTCCCTTCCTGGGGAGAAATTTAGAGAAATCATCCACCCAATTGTTCTACTGACAACTGATGGACAATTCTGAAAGATCATTGGTGCACACAGATCTAATTTAAATAATAGAAAATTATACGGATGACCCACCTGAATGACCAACCAAATTATTTTAAAACTGCAACCATGTATCAATTCAGGATGTAGCATCCAGTGCAGGGTTGGGAACTTATATACCTTTACAAGTTGCAGAACTATAGCTCCTAATATCTCCCATCATTGGTCGTACTGGAAGGGGGAATGCTGGGAACTGTAGTTCAGCAATTGATCCAATGTGTTGTTTCTAGAATCAAGGAAGATATCATCATTTAGAGCCATACGGAAAGTTATGGTTGGATCACCTGATCTATTTTCAGTTGAAAACAGTGTAAAGAATTACAAAATATATTGGAGCAGTGGAGTTGGGAGCAATGACAGGCAACTTGGTGTCTTCTACACCACAGGTATCAAACATGAGGGCACACTCCTGAGTGTGGTCCAAACCAGATTAAAATTAAACTGGGAAGTATTTAACAGAACAAAATAAAAATACAATAAAACATAGATAATATTACATTTTGAAACTAAATAATAATAAATTTAGTCATCAACCACCATAAAACTCTGGACTTGCAAGGAGTCCTGCACAAATTTGCCACCTGAGGTTAATTACAGCAGTGAAGATTGCTTGATGCTGCCCTGGTGTGGGCTGAGCAGAAGCACCACATGACTGAGTTCCCTCTCAGTCTGCGCTGCAGCACCACCGAGTGATCTTGCTGCTGCAGTTAAGCTCAGGCAGCAAGCTTGTTCCTTTTTACCGGGATAGCAAGCAGGCAGGCAGGCAGGCAGGCAGGCAGGCAGGGAGCCGTGCACTGGTAGCCAACCTGTTCTGGACCTCCAGTGCATGAAGGAGCATCTCCCTCCAAAACAGGTTGAATTAATTTCCCTCCACCCTCCAAAACAGATTTAATTAATATCTGTTGAGTTTTGGGCTGCACAAAGTCCATGATCATTGTTAACTATAAAAAATTCAAATTTTAAATTAATAATAATGAAAGTTAAATATGCCAGCTTTCTTTCCTACCCCATTTAACATCTGTATAAAACTGCTGGGGTGGTAATATGTCAACCCTAACCCTAATTAACTTAAGCCTTAACACTGCTGTCTAGACAGTGTTGGGCTAGATATACCCATGTTTTAACAATATTGGCCAGCTTCATATATTGAATGAGACATCTACTCTATTGAGGTAGCTTGTATTTCTAACAATTGGCACTTTCAAGGAGGCTCAGTAATGTACAGTCCACTGCACTGAGTTGGCCAGATTGAGGAAAAAAGTACTGTTAATAAAGGCTGGGAATTAGATATCCAGATTAATGTGATGCATGGAAACATCAGTTGATGGCTGAGATCCTGTAAACAGTTATCTAGGGTCAGTGGAGTTTACTTTTTACTTCTGAATGAACATAGGGAGGATTGCAGTCTTATATATATAATATATATATAATATATAGTTTTATCAGCCTTTAGAGACTGAGAAAGACTTCTTTCTCAGTTTAAGACATCTTGGCGATCGTGGAAGGCTTTTATTTTTTATTGACTTGGTGGCATATGTGATATTTTACAGCTCAGAGCTTGGTCCATGTGATTTTCCTTTCCTTTATAATAAAAGGAAATTCAGATACAATTTTAATTTTAATTTGTAAACATTGTTCTTTAAGTAGAAAAAAAAAGTCATGTTCCTATTTGCTTTTAGTGCTTGTATACCTTTTCTTCCTACGTGGCTTTTGTGACATTCAGACAGAAGAATCTCAAGGAAATCCAGCAAGAAGTTGGTAGATTGCTCCGGTCAAATATATTCAATCCTGCTTTAAGAGAGAGAACCAAATCTAATGAGATAAAAACAGATATTACCAAAGAATTGAAGAAAGTCACCTTTGCCTTTCGCAAGTATGTCATAATTCTCTCTCTCTCTCTTTCTGATCCAACTTACCACTGTGCCAATTTTAACAGGGAAAGCTTATAGTAGAAATTAAAGATACCATAGTTTCATACACACATACATGCTCACATAGGCATAACATTTCATACTGATTTTTGTCTATTTTTAATATTTTAAGCATATGTTTGTTTAAGTATCCTTTCTTTATTTTACACTTCCTTCAAAGTTGCAAAAGTACTTCTGGGATTGGAGGGAGACTGTTGATGTCATGTCTGCTAACCACTACATGCTTACCACACCCAGCTTTTTCAAATCCATATTGAACTATGCTGAAATACATATGTCAATTTGTTCCAGGATAGAAAAAAGTATGCTTTGCTATTGTTAACTGAATGTGGCAATGTTACCATGTCAGGCTCCACTGGCCTTAGGAAAAAAAAATCTTTGCTTTCTTATTCAACATCTCCCATTATTCCTTCTTTGTGATGTTGTTATTTTAATTTTTGTTCTTAAAGGAGTACAGATGTTAAGCAGCCAGCCATAAGACGTATCATGGATCAGCGATCACCAGTGCTTAGTACTTTGCTGCCTATGGCTAAAGATAGTGCTCAGTACCTCTTCCAGGACCATTACCTTCATCCCAGCAAAATTGCCCCAAGCTATAGTCCAGAAGTCTTACCAGAGTTGTCTTCTGTTGTGTCACCATCCAAGTAAGGAATAAGTTCAGTGTCGCACATTATGTAGCATCAACCTATTTATTTATTTATTTATTTATTGCATATTTTGCAATAAATATTGCATAACCGCCCATCTCACAAACACATGACTCTGGGTGGCGTACAGCACAACAACAGTTAAAAACTCCATAACAATCTAAAAATAATTTAAAAATAAATAATATAAATAATATAAAGTAAACATAAAATAAGCAAATAAAACCCAAGAAAGTGGGAGAACAAACTTCACTTAATTTCATACAGCCACCTTGCAGGTTCTTCCTGGGATCCCCAAGACTGGTGAAAAAAACATGTTTCAAGGGCCTTCCAGAAGGCTAACAGAGATGGGGCTAACCTCACCTCAGGGAGAATGATGTTCCAGAGGGCGGGGACCACAGCAGAAAAAGCATGCCCCCTGGGTCCCACCAGATGGAGCTCCTTTGGGGACAGGTATACAGCATACTGATCCTGCCTGATCTGATGGGACAGGTAGATGTAATCGAGAAAAGGCGATCCCTCAAATAACCTGGTCTCATGCCATGTAGGCTTAAGGTCAAAGCCAGTACCTTGAATTGCACTCGGAAGCAAACTAGCAACCAATGCAGCTTGCGAAACAGAGGTGTAATGGGGCACACATAACTGTCCATGCAACTGCATTCTGCACCAGCTGAAGCTTCCGGATGCTCGTCAAGGGCAGCCCCATGCAGAGGGCATTACAGTAATCCATTCTGGAGGTAACCAGGGCATGAGTGACTGTGAGAAGAACCTTATGGTCCAGGAAGGGGCACAACTGGTGCATAACGTGAAGCTGTGCAAAGGCCCTCCTACCCACAACTGCTACCTGCTCCTTGAGCAGGAATCGTAAGTCCAGGAGGACCCCCAGATTGCGTACTGGGTCTGCCTGGGGCAGTGCCACCCCATTCAGTACCAAAAATGGTAAAGTCCCAGAACCAGAAGGCCCCAAAACCCAGAGCCACTCAGTCTTGCCAGGGTTCAGATGAAGCCTGTTTTTCCCCATCTAAACCCCTACAGCCTCCAGGCACCAGGATAAGAAGTTAACCACATCACTTAGTTCACCAGGGGTGGAGATATATAATTGAGTATCATCAGCATATTGAGATGGCGACAGATGATCTCATCCAGCAGCTTCATATAGATGTTAAACAGGAGTGGAGAGAGTATCGAGTCCTGCGAAACCCCACATAATAAGGGCTGAGGGCAGGACTTCTCTCTCCCAATTAACGACTGGTACTGACCCTGCAGAAAGGAAGTAAACCAGCGCAATACTGTGCCACCCAATCCCAGCCCACGGAGCCGATCCAGAAGGATACCATGGTCGATGGTACTGAAGGCTGCTGAGAGGTCAAGAACAGCAAGGACGGATGTGCTACCCCTCTCCTGCTCCCACCAGAGATCATCTAAAAGCACAACCAATGCCATCTCTGTCCCATGTCCAGGCCTGAATCCCGACTGAAAGGGGTCCAGATAATCTGCTTCATTCAGGGCCTGCTGAAGTTGCTGTATAACCACCTTCTCCATGACCTTCCCTAAAAAAGGGAGGTTCAGTACTGGATGAAAATTGTCCAGTATGATAAGTTCCAGTGATGGCTTCTTGAAGAGGGGGTGAACCAATGCTTCCTTAAGTGGGAGTGGAACAACCCCCTCTCTCAAATAATTAACTACCACTAGGATCCAACCCCACGACACTCCCCGGGCAGCCTTAACTAGCCGGGAGGGGCATGGATTTAAAGAGCAGGTGGCTGAGCTCACAGTCAATAAGGACCCTCTCCATTTCTTCAGGCCCAACAGGATCAAACTGTTCCCAGATAACTGGGCAAGACTATATCCCAATCATCTCCCCTGGGCTTGAACCAAAGCTGGCACCCAACTTGGAACAAATGCAAGCAATTTTGTTTGACAGATGCTCTGCAAATTCCTCTGCATGGCCTTGTAGGTAGACCCCCGAGTCCCCCTTTCCCAGGAGGACTCAGGTTACCTCAAACAAGGCCACCAGTTAGCTATCTGTGGATGCAATAAGGGCGGAGTAGTAATGCTGCTTCACTGCCCTTACTGCCACAAGGTAGGCCTTAATAATGGCTCTTACCTGTGTTTGGTCGAGTTTGTTCCTTGTTGTTCTCCAGTGGTGCTCTAGACATCTCTTCTCTCATTTAATCTCTCTCAGCTCCTCTGTAAACCACAGGGAGCAGCAGGACCCACAAGAGGAGAGAGGTCACATGGGCGCAATAGGATCCAAGGCATCAGCTGCCCTTTCATGCCAAGCGATGGCTAAGACCGTGCAGCAGACCATCAGGAATAACCCCCAGATCCCTCTGGAACCCATCAGGGTCCATCAGTTGCTGGGGGTGAACTAATCTAATAGGTTCTGCCTCCCTGTGGCAGGGACAGCACCAGAGAATCTTATGGTCACCAGGGCATGATCTGACCATGACAGGGGAGACACCAAGAACTCCCCCAACTCCAGATCATGTTGCCACTGCTCTGACAAGAAAACCAGATCAGAGGTATAACCACTGTTCCATATTGGGTCCTGGATAACTTGGGGTAGGCCCATGGCTGTCATGGTGGCCATGAACTCCTGAGCCACCTCAGACCCCACCTCCAGGGAAGGCAGATTAAAGTATCCCAGGACCATAAGCCTGGGGAACTCCACTGCCAACCCTGAGACCGAGTCAAGGAGCTCAGGCAGGGAGATTGCTATGCAGGAGGGAGGCTGGTTCAGAAGCAACAATCCCAACTGATCCCTAGAACCCAACTTAAGGAAAAGGGTCTCACATCTGGCAACTTGTGGAGCAGCACCCCGAAAGCCATAAGAGACTCCCAGATGATAACCACCACATCCTTACCCCTGCCATGAAGTCTCGGCTGATGCCAAATCTAGAACCTAGCTGGGCACATTTCTGAAAGGTGCCCCCTCTCCCCTGGACCCAGCCAGGTCTTGGTAATGCATGCCAATTTGTCTTTCGCATCTACAATTAAATCACAGATGATAGAGGCCTTATTATAGACCAACCTGGCATTTAGCAGCAGCAGCCAAAAGCCAGGGCCTCTGAAGGTCCGCTGACAGGAAATAGGGCTGAGTCCCAGGGGCTGGAATTCGGAACCAGCATAAGACATCAGGCCTGCCTTATCTGTGAGCAGCCTGCCCCAGTCTCCTGCCATATCTTCCCATACCTGTCGCCACCATGATGTTCCCACCCACCCCCGCTCCCCTCAAGGCTCCTACACCCCCCACCCTATGCCCTCTGGTTCCCAAAACGGGATCTCAACATATCAACCATGCACCCTAGAGGGGCAGAGAAACTCTCTCCCCTGGGCTCTTTAGCCTAAGTTCTCAGCACCTCAGGGTAATTCTGAGACCCACCCTTCCTCCACAATCCACAATCAGTGCACCACATTAATGTATCTACAACCCATCTACACCATCTACACCCCACCACACCAGCCACTCTCACCAGGCTGGCTAGAGGTAGTCTCCAATCACCATCACCACATCAACCAACCAAATCCCCCCCCCACCCCGGGCTCTCACCCAGGGCGGTCAATTCCTACCGGGGGAAAAACCCCCACCATTCAAAACCTTACTTCGCCAATCATCAACAATCTGACCACCAGGTGGCATCTGCACAGTGGATTTAATTGGCCCCAAAATGGTTACACCACCATCCTTTCCAGACTCTAACCACGGGGAAGGAGACAAGATGGCTTCTGTAAGAAGAGAGCCCACAGGAGTCTGCAGGTACCAGTCCACCTTTGCTGCTACTCTCCCCCAATTCAGCCATCTGCCCCCCTCCAACACTCCCAAAGGGGCAATCCAAGAGTTCTTGGATTTGGAGATCACAAACCACATGCCATGCTGTCTGTCTCTAGCGTAAGCCATGCAGGCATCAAGCTGCCACCATTTCCAATGCTGTTGCCACCGCCAGTGCCAGCACATCTCAACAGGATGCACACTGGTCAGAAGTCCTGACAGGCAAAACGCCCTCTCACCAGCATTGCTGCCCAGACCCCCACCAATGGCCAACCCATGTGCTGCTCCCGATTCTACATCCAAATGGAACGGGAATCTTGGGTTTCTTTTCAATAAATGTATTGACATGATTCAGGTTTTCAAACACATTCCTTTTACAGATTACCCTTGTAGGCTTATGCTTAAAAGATAATATACAAAGAAGCTCTTGGTTGCTAA